GTATATTGAAATGAAAATGACATGTATTTAGAATTTTAGGTACAAGAAAATAAGAACTCCTCTCAACAATACAGTAATTTAAAAGTTGTTCATTAGAAAGTAGCAGTCAAAAACATCCATCCCCATCTTCTAAATAATTAATTTTTTTTCAACTTATTTAAGTTACTTATGCCTTATAAATAATAAATATAAAAGTTACATCAAATTATCTGATACAAACTAGTAAATTAAAATAAATAGAAAATTTCATTTTACCCTCAAACTTTGTCTGAATAATCAATTACACACCCAGATTTTGAATAATTTCAATTTTACCTCCAAAATTTTTGAAATCATATCAATTTGCCCCCTACCGTCACATTTAAATGGAAGTTAAAAAAAATTACATTTTGGCCTCAAATTTCAAATTATAGATTCAAACTCACCCTCTCCTACCCAAACTCACCTTCTTTCCTCTCTGTACCTCTACAACTCCGCTGTCTACCACCGCCAGCAGCTAGCCCTGTTTTTCCCTTCGCCATTGCAACTCCACTTACTTCCCAAATGGTTTCTAAAAAAAAATAAAATAAAATTGTAGAGAAAGAGGGAAAGTTCAATTTTGAATTCTCAAATTTCCAATCAACTGGTCTAGTTGGTGATCACAGATGGAGATGATGTAACAAACTTTTCATCAACAGATTCACAAGTTTCAGACCGAGACAGAGGAGACATTTCAACAAGGGAAGACAAATTAGATATGTTAATGGAAATTGATTGATTTGTTATCGACTCTAAAATGACTCTTCATTTTTTAACAAACAAATAAACTCCACCCAAATTGGAAATCTCCACAAACTCACCATCGGATTGAGCCGAAGAACTCTCTCATTGTTCTTCCTCGTGAACGCATAACTGAACTTTTACACCACTCAACTTGTAACGCCCCAAAATAATAACAATAGACATCCCCATAATATTCATCCAAAATATGAAAACTAATAAGATTTCAATCTTTCATCGATTCTCTTGAACAGTACAAAGGATGCCACATGCATTTTAGATCCTGAATCTATAACATGTGACATATAAAAATACTTCGAACTAAAAAAGAAAGACAGATAAGTTCATGTCCTAGTGGTTACATATTTCCAAGACGGTACTTGGTTACAACAAAAGTGGGTCAAGCCCAATACATATAAAGCCCTACGCTTGTACAAAACAATATTTACAAGAAACAAAATAAAAGAAACTCTCAGCTCTAAGGTCTTCCCAAGCTATTTCTTTAGCGAAGGCATATCATCAGCACCTGAAAGTTTCCACATAGAGTGAGCTAAGCCCAGTAAAGATTAATTCAATAATCTGCATGATGCTTAATAATGCCATATGGTGAATGCACATGAATGTCATTTATCAAAATGTGATTTCTTTCATTTTTCAACAAATGTAATTCAATGTTTATTATTCAATGTAAGAATCTTTACTTTCGAAACAGAAAAATGGGTGGTGGATGCACAACACTAGGAATCTCTTGGTGCGTGTTTACCAGTAACCAAAGCCATTTACCAGTAATAATCAGATGGATCGGCACCTAATCGCGCAGGTTTCTAGACTTTCACCAATGACACATAGGCTAACATAATATAAACCACAACCATACCCCCTAACTACATTCTCCAAGGTATTCACCCATTTTTTTCAAAACAATACATTTTCAATCTGTGATTATAAAACAAATGCTAAAATGAAAGATACATGAGTAAATGGTTTTAGTTAGCCTAGTTTTCATGCAGTTTCTAGAAGAAACAAAGCTATCTTCCACCGATAGCCCAAAACAGATATCTCTATTCATAAATTAAAAAAAAAAACAAATGTAACTTTTAAATTTCAAAATTGGGAGAAACAATACATATTCACTCCACCACCCATCAACAAGGGTTCAAACATTTCCCCACCATTTCCATCCATTTCCAAAACCAATGATTTCCAAATATTGCCACGGTTTTCTAACAAAATATCTATTTTTTTGATAAATCCGTTTAAAGGATAGATTTTCATAGTTTTCCATAATCCACAACAATACAATTATCTCTGCCTCTTCCTAGCACAACCAATTCCAAAGTCCCTCTTTATAACTCATTTACAAATTCAAACTCAACCCAAATCAAAACCCAAATACCCATTAATTGAGAGCACATAACAAAGCTAAAAATTATACAACGATATTGAAGAAATCTCTACCTCAATGTCTGAAAAGAAGCTAGATAACACCTGAGAATCAACAATGCCAAAAACTAGAAATTTTCAAATTAAAATGTGGCCCCAAACTTACTCTACAATAAAGTCTTAAGCACTAGGGGTAGGACGTAAGTATAACTAAATGAAAACCAAAGGTTTGGAGCTGAAAAGGTTGAAAATGGTGATCTAGAGAGAGAATGAAAGAAGACGAGCTCAAAAAGTAGATATTTTCCACTTTTGGGGGTATATACAAACAAATAGACTGCGTGCACAAACTACAGACTGTGGGCGCGAAAGACACAGTTACGGTCGCGAACAACCACGCCGCTGGCGTGATCCTCAAATCACGACCGTTCACAGCCTACATAATTTCCCCATACAAGGACCTAAAAGGCACATTTGGTCGCAACCTATAGTGGGTTCGACCTTTATAATTCACAGGTGCAGCCAAATAATCGTGGGAATGAAGAAGAACCAGGTCGTAGGCGCGACCTGTCCTTCACGGGGACAAACGTAACTCACAAGCAAAAGTACTGGAACGTGTTTTTCATCGCAGCTTGGTCGTAGGGATGACCTAATACATCGCGGGCACAATTTGGCAAACATAACAAAATTCTGCCAACATGACAAGTTTAAAAACAGGATTCCTCAAGATAACAAGGCTTAAGGAAAATATAATACAACTCCAAAATAGATACCATTCTATAAACAAAAGTATAAAAGGATCAGGTCTTAACCTGGACCACTCTAACCTTCCTCTCTTAAGAAATTTTATTCCTGGAATTGAAGTCAAAGAAAATACATGCTCTATAACTAAAACGTCTTCATGAGCTCAAAGGCATAAAGATATAACATTCTAAACCAATACAAAACATCCCCATCTTTACAAAAGGTTCATAACCCCTATATATTACAATAAAACATCAAAATAGTTGCAAAAGGAGTCAAGCACTAGAAAACAAATCTGGATACTTATCGCAGACCTCATCTTCACGCTTTCAAGTCGCCTCATCGATCCGATGATGTCGCCACAACACCTTAACTAAAGGAAAAGTCTTGCTTTACAAGACATGCTCTTGGGTATCCCAAATTTGAACCAGTCTCTCTTCATACGAGGCATCCTCATCAACCTTTAAATCCGTCCAATCCAAAACTAGGAGTGAGCAGCAGATATACCGATCCGCCAAAACCGACCAAACCGAACCGATCCGTCATATTTTGGACGGATACGTGATGACGAGCGGATGGTTGCGGATTGATTTTCTCCAATCCGCCAATTTGGCGGATGGATGACGGATTTGAGATTCTTTTGGCCGCAACTGAACCGTCAAACCGCAAGCACCCCTAGTAATTTATAAAACTTTGTGTTTTTAGTTTATTTAAATATTCTGTTTGTGTTTTCAATTAAAAAAGAGTTTAAATATTCTGTTGAAAAAAAGCTTTCAACTTGAATATCTTTTTTAAATTAAAAAAAATAAACGTATTATTTATCTATATTTTTTGGTTTTTAAACCCATCTCTAAAAATAATAAATAGTAAATATGATATATGCTGGTTGGTTTTTGTTTTTAAAAACCGATATAGATGTAACAATACAGAGACATACAATCTCTACTACTGCTCTGTTCATGGTTTTGATGGTTTGAATTGTTTTTATATTTTAAGAACCATAGATTGTAATACTTTATGTGGATGAGACATGCTGTAATTGTAGTATGTGGATGAGGCATGCAGTGATTGTGATATTTTAAAGTTTCAAACTTTCTTACTTTGGATGAGGCATGCAGTGATTGTAATATTTTTTTAAGTCATTGACTGTAATACTTTCTTATTCTTTTTTTGAGGAAGTGCACAGGTTGAATTATGGTGAAAATTTATAAAATTTTAAACCGCGAAACCGATTCGCATCCATCCGCCAAACCTCCAAACCGCTCAATCCATATCCGTCCGATTGGCTGACGGATGCAGATTGATTTTCTCTAATCCGCCAATCTGGCGGACAGATGGCGGATTGGAGGTTCCGTGGCCGCAACCGACCCGCGCCCACCCCTATCCAAAACATGTGAATAAATTAATACAATTTAAAAAATTTTACAGATAAAATTAAATTATTTGAAATTAAAAACTATACTTTCTCTATCTCAAAATATTAGTCCCTTATTTCATTTTTCATTATCTCAAAATATTAGTTTTCTTTTAAAAAATTAAGAACTAAAATAATATAAATTTCCTATTTTACTCTTCTTTTCAATTCATTAATAATACAAAAAGTATAATTATGATAATTGATATTTTAAAAAAAATGTATTATTAAAGAATAATTTTAAAAAGTTAATAATTTTAAAATACAATAATTCTACTACTTAAAAAAAATATTTTTTAAAATAGGTTATTATTTTAAAATGAAAGGAATAATTAATTATAAGACAAAGTTTGGGAGTAAAATGAAATTTCATCCCAAAAAAAAATTTACGGGTATGTTTGGTTTGTGTTTGAGAGATGTGTTTTAGAGATAAAAAGTACGAAAAGTTATTTGGTTTAGTTTTTTTCAAAAGATGTTTTGGAAAATTATTTTGAGAGAGAGTTTTGAAAAAAAATGATTGATTTAATGTGTGTAAGAAAGAGATTTGTTTGAAAAACTTGTTTGATTTACAAGTTTTGAGAAATTTTTTTTAGGAAAATTCGTTTGATTTGATTACTTTTAAAAACTTATTTGTAAAAAAAACTTCTCAAAATTTTTTCAAAAATATAAACCAAACGAACCCTACTTGTTTTAACTGAACAAATATCCCATCTAATGTTTTTCTTACCCACCGATTTCACTTTACCACTCTCCCAACACACATTCTGATCTCCTCTCTCATCCGCGCCGCCAATGGCAACCTCTCGTCCGCCATCGAAGCCGCTCGACCTCGACATCACGATCGTCTCCGCCAAGCACCTGAAGAACGTGAACTGGCGTCAAGGCGACCTCAAACCCTACGCCATCTTCTGGGTCGACCCGGACCACCGTCTCGCCACCAAGTCCGACGACTCCTCCTCCACCCGTCCCGTCTGGAACGAGCACTTCCTCATCCCGCTCTCTCTTCCTCTCCAAGACTCTCTCCTCACCCTCGAAATCTTCCACTCCAAACCCTCCGAGATCCCCAAACCCCTTGTCGGAACCCTCCGACTCGCTCTCAAGGACCTGGTTGACCAGGACGATTCCACCCGCCTCCGCACCTTCGAGCTCCGGCGCCCCTCCGGCCGCCCCCAGGGCAAGATCCGCATCAAGCTCGCCGTCCGCGAACGCCCTCTCCCAGATTACCATATTACCCCTCCGCCCAGCTATTATTACTCAACTGCCCCTCCCTCTCAACCTCGCGACTTCAGGGGATACACTTCTCTGCCTCCACCTTCAATATCTGGATTCAGCCCTTATCCCGATCCCTATTCGGGGTACTACTCGGGGTATTATTCTCCACCGCCTCCGCCGCGGCCCTTTTTCGATCGCCAATCGAGTTACGGAGGGCCCAGCGCACCGGTGGATTATGCGCCGCCGTATGATCAGAAGCAGAAGAGTGGGAAGATTGGTGGGCTTGGAACTGGATTGGCCGTTGGAGCGGTTGCTGGGGCGATGGGTGGATTGGCATTGGATGAAGGGTTGAAGCATGAGGAGGAGAAGATTGCCGAAAGTGACTTGGATTCGCCTGATGATTACAGCGATTATCGTGTCAATTATGGATATAATTGAAGTGTAGTGAGTGCTTGAGGCCTTACCCGTGAGGTAAATAAGTTGTTTTGGCTAATGTTTTTAAGTTTACTTTGAGAGTTTTAGGTGGATATGTATATAATAATCTATGCTGAATTGGGTTTTCTTTTTTATGTTTTTGTATGGTTGTTTAATAACCCTGGCAGAGACAGTTTTTATTGAGAAATGCTTTTGATATATATGAATCCTCGATTTAAGGAAAAAATGTTGGTTCCTTCTGTTCTTGTTCTTGGTTTGATGGTGTTCGGCACTTAATTAAGGAATTTAAGTTGAGTAAAAATTACAAAACACAAAAGTGCTTTAGCTAAAGGACCAATTAGTGTAGTGATTTTCCACAAGTGCATACTTCATTATATTTTATGTCCATTTTAGTTGGTCTAATAGCAATGAAAAAATGAAGAACGAAGAGTTTATAGTTTGCTTGATATGAAAGTACTTGATTATTAGAGTGCATGTCTTAAAATAGGTGCTTGCTAAGGTCAATGTAGAGTAGCAAGCTCATTTGAAGTATGGAATTCTAGCAATGGTACCATGTCACAAGGCCAATAAGCATCATGCCACCAATAGTTTGGATTAATTTCTTTGGTATGTGTTACGAGCTTCTCCAAACCAAGTTCACTTCTAAGAGTGATCCAACTTGGTTAGGGTACACGTTTCGATCTCAGCATGTAATCACAAGAATCTGTTTTGCTGTCCTATACAAAGTCATTGGTATTGCATTGTGCTATGCAAGGGACTCACCAGCAACTCCTATCACTGGGTGTTAATACATAGTGCTTTGGGTGATTCTGCTGATTGTTTTGGTTTAAGCTGGAACCTTTTTTTTGGTTACAGCTTTGAGCTAGAATTAGGATTTTTCTAAATTCAGTTTTTCGTGTGTCAAGAGCTTATGGTGATGTTTTGGCTTCTGCAAGTGTTGTTGCTTTTGGTTCATTAAAGAATGACATTTATTAAATTTTGCATTCGTTTTTCCAAGTAGTTGATGGATTCGAAGTAACATTGACACGAGTTTTAGTTGTTTGTGCACAAACACATGGATATTATAATTGGATTTATTATGTTTGGTTTTTATAGAGAAGGTAAAGTAATACGTTGGTCCTCAAGTCTGATAATTTGATATAGCCATGAAGCTAGAATGCAGTGCCTGTCAGATAAGGCATGAGTAGGTTTTGCTTAGTGTGGCAGCTTATATTGCTTTGATGTTTCTTGTAGATCTGCAGTTAAAAATGGAATTCTTCTTTTCCCTCCGTCTCATACTTTTTCTCTACCTTTCCATTTTGTGATGTCCAAAAATGGTTGTTCCTTTTAGAAGTTAAAAGTATTTAATTTCATGATTCTACAATATTGTCTTTTTTTAGATGAGATGAGAGTGAATTCTTCTGTTAGGCATAGTCTTGGAAATCAAAACTCTATTCAGCTTGTTTGGTTTGGGTTTTTAGGATTCACTTTTCAGAAAATTAAATTTTTTTGTTTTTCGTAATTTTTTTAATTTTTACTGAATTTTTTTAATATTCTAAGCATTTTTTTTTAAAATTTTTAGATACACTTAACATAAATATACTTAAAAAGTATAATATGTGTGAAAAAAAATATTTAGAAAATTCATTAAATACTAAAAATACAAAAAAAAAAAAAAAAAGATTTCAATACATTTTTCGTATTCTTGTGTATTTATTAATTTTTTAAAAAAATTGCTTAAAATTTTAAAAATATTCACTAGAAATATAAAAAAAAATACAAAAAATAAAAAACTCAATTTTCAAAAAATTGAATTCAAAAAATTGAAACTAAACACACAGATTATTTGTGTGTCAGCACATTTAGTACTCATCTGCTTAAATTTTTGATAAAATATGTTATGTTGCTGATAAAAAATAAAAAAAAAACCTTCATCTCCTTAAAATATTGGATATCATCACATGGTGGACAAAATATATGGGACTGAGGAAGTATGTTACTGCAATGAAAGCATTCATATCTCTTCCAATGTTATCAATATTAAACATTTTGGTTATTATCCATGGTACCATTTCATTTATTCATTTGATGGATTTACGTCCATACAGTTGACAATAACTTATCAAAAACAAAAAGGGTCAATATGACAGGTTGAGGAGTGTGTCTCTTGGTCTATTGATGTGAAAATAGAGTCATTATGTAGCACTGACTCTTACTTTAGTCGTTTATTATGTATGACATTGACAGATCATGCTTATTTCATTTTGGTCCTATTAAGCCTTATTTACATGCTACTTTTGTATCGGAATTGTTTAGTGATATCTATTGTATTTATAATCATAAATGTTTTGGATAAATGTTAGGTTACTTGGTGTATGAGAGGGTGAGGGAGGTCATTGGAAAATTTGAAGGTTGCCGGAAAAGTCGAATGTTTGTTGGAAAATTCGAATGTTGTCGGGAACTTCGAATTTTCTAGGAATGTGTAGAGAGGTTTAGATTCTTCAACGGTTGCAACTAGAAACACAATAGGATGATGGAGATAAGATATTGAGTGAAGAAGAAGACAAAGTAATCAGAGAAAGAATAATGAGAAGGCTTTCCCACTTTCACTCTCAAGGTAAAAAATAGAGAAGGGAAAGTAGTTTTCTCCCCAAAAATTGTCTCTCCGAAATCCATCATTTATAAAGTTATGGATGGGTGCTATTTGTAGGCACCTCATGATGTAGGATGGAGCCCATGTGCAAGGCACGTGAGAAATATTCTCTATAACCACCTTGTCCGAGGACGTGATCTCTCCAAAGATAAGGAAAACTCCAAAGATGAAATCAATCTCTCATTCTTCTTAACCACTCCTAACCGATGATTCCCAAACATCCCAAAGGGTCCGGAATAGTCCTAGAGGACGTCCTGCCAGCAGAAGGTTCAGGGGTAGTTCAAGAGAACGCCCTATTGCTAATATTACTGAGTCTCAAGTATCCCCTGGATTGTGTTACCTCGACCTGGGTATAGGCTAGTTTAATTGAAAAGTGAATTTATCTCCACTCACCATCCTCGAGATTAAGTCACGCCCATGGTTCTAGTGCGTAAATCTCATAAAACTCCAAGCCTGTAAGTGTTTTAGGACTCATTGACGGAGTGATTTCTAGATTGCTTCCGAATCTGTTCGAAGCCCAGCACTTCGGATCTCTAGGTTCGTGAATCCGAACTCTTTAGAAGGTTCGTGGTTTCCAGCCCTTTCGAGACTAAGGGGTTGTTTGAAGTGTCCTAAGTAAGTGTACTTTTTGTCTTTTTGGACTAAAAAATTGAGGAAAAAAATATGGATGTTTGAGTTAACTTTTTGACTTTTTATGGAAAAATATGTTTTAAAAAGTTGTATAAATTAGTGTGTAGGGGAAAATTAGGATTGGGAGTTGTGCAGCCGTAATTTTTGACTTTTGGTGAATAGTGATAACTTTTTAACATTTTGAGTAGCTTTTTGACTTTTTTTCAACTTGCCAAACTTGGTCTAAACAAATATCTTGGAGAATGGATCTCCTCCGAGGGTTTTATTTCTTTTGAAAGCAACGATCAATCTTCTCGGATGCTCATATGATCTAGATCTCTTCGGATGGGCTTGTTGGACTTTCTCTAGAGATATAAGCCCGATGGGTCTTCCTCGGCCCAATTTGTTAACTTTCTTGTTGGTCCATTCAATAGAATGCATTTGAAGTCACTTGGTGATAATTTTTCTGGACCCATTAATTTTTTGGGCTTCCTGATTGGGCTCTGATTGGACCCAATTAATTTAATGGGCTTAAGTTAACTCTTTTTATACTTGGTGCAGCACTAGATTTCATAATTATTTCTCTTTGTATCCATGTGTCTTGCCCAATAAATTGCATGGCCTTTATGATATTTAAGATAAATTGAGTTTTCTTCCTCAAAGAGCCATGCTTGTGTGCAATTAACTACTCATTTTTACAATGGACTTGTTCGAGTTAGTCTTGACTCAGTCAAAGATAATGTGCCCCTTATTTGACCATATTAATCTGTTTTGATTAGTGCAAAGCCAAGTATGTTTGGTTCATACTTTTCGGAATGCTCATATTATCAAGGTCTGATTATATTCATATTTTTTAGTAAGTGCAGACTACCGACCATATTCATAATCAGTTTCATTCCTGAAGGGCCTGAAGTTTGCCATTGAACACCTAATTTAATTGGGAAAACTCTACCCACTCATGCCCCCCTTTCCCGTATCGCAGCACTGCTGTTTCCAGCTTTTAATAGAAGTCACATCTGGATTTTGGTGTTTTACTATGTTGTGACTAGAGTTTTAATGCTTCTAGTTTATAGGACCATTTAATTGTTTGTACTTTTAGTATGATGCTGAACCATTGTTTTTTTGGGAAAAGCAAAATACTACAAAGCTGGAACTCGGAAGCCTGATGATGGTTTAGTTTTTCAAGAAGAATATATGATATTTTTTACCCTTATAGGTGGTTCCAATGCTTTGTGTAGTGTATATAGTGCTTGCTGGATTCTTTGGCAATCTGATGGTGTGGCTAGCAGTTTTTGGGGATGGGGTTAAGCAATGGCTTAAATTTCTCAGCTTGTGGAAATGGACCGTACAGGAGGGTGAGAGCTTAAGGAATTCCCTACAGAAGTTCAAAACCAAACTATTGAAGATAGGCAGGCGTGTGCTTTTGGCCATGCCTGAAGCATAGGTTTTTGTATTTAGTTCTAGTTCAAAACATAGTGCTGAAAGGAGTAATTTGGCAATAGGTGGGGATGTGAATTTGACAGGTACAAGTGTCTTTGGAGCTTTGGATTGGTTGGAATCAAAGTTGTAACATGCTTTATTGAGGCTCGGCTAGCGGTCTGAAATCCATCATTTATAAAGTTATGGATGGATGCTATTTATAGGCACTTCATGATGTAGGATAAAGCCCATGTGCAAGGCACGTGAGAAATTTCTCTATAACCACCTTGTCCGAGGACGTGATCTCTCCAAGGATAAGGACAACTCCAAAGATGAAATCAATCTCTCGGCGAATCATTCTTCTTAACCACACCTAGCCGATGATTCCCAAACATCCTAAAGGGTTAGGGGTAGTCCTAGAGGACGTCCTACCAGCAGAAGGGTCAGGGGTAGTTCAAAAGAACGCCTTGTTGCTAATATTACTGAGTCTCAGGTATCCCTGGATTGTGTTAACTCGACCTGGTTATAGGCTAGTTTAATTGAAGAGTGAATTTATCTCCACTCACTATCCTCGAGATC